TTTCTGTCTGAAGCTCAAAATTTCATCAATTTGCTGAGCAGTCTTGTTGGGTGGATGAAACTTATTCACAAATTACTTGACTAACTCCTTCCAAGTCGTGATAGAGTTAATAGGGAGTGAATTTAGCCAAGTCTGGGCAGCTCTAGTCATTGAAAATGGAAACAACAACATCTTTATTGCTTCCTGAGTTACGTTGGGCTACCTTTGAGTTTTGCAGATTGATAGGAAATTCTTTAAGTGCTGTTGAGGATCTTCAATGTATGACCCCGAAAATCATCCCTTGTTTTGCAACAAGTCCAGCATGTTGTTTGTGATTTGAAAAGAATCAGCCTGTATCTGCGGGACTGCTATCGCTGTGTCCAAACTCTCTACTGTGGGTTGCACCCAGTCATATAGAGGAGCCTCTGGCACTAGAGGCACCACTACCTGCAGAGCTGGGTCTACCATGTTATCCTCGTTGTTGTTTTTGTTATTTACCAGCTCTGCCATATCTGGTTCAGGTTGTTCAGTTGATTGTTGTTGTTTGTTTTTCTGGTTGGCTCTATTCAAGGCCTTGAAAACTTTCTCGGGATCTGATAATGCTTCAAACACTTCACCAGTTCTCAATGAGTTTTTAGGCATGCACCTGTACCACCAAGTTAGCAAACGTTAAAATTTCAATGTATGGATTGAAAATGAAGAAAATTGACTACACTAAGAATTTTGTATTTCTTTCAACTGTAATTGATAACACCGTTAATTCTCTGGCAACGACGCCAAATTTGATCATGCCCAACTATGCTTTATAAAAAGGACAAGCACTCATTGCAAATATAATTCGGGTATTTAGCCCAGAGTCGAATCTCACAGGGAATTAACCTACCAACTACTTTTGTCAGACTCACTGAATTCTCCGTAATCAACTTCCCATATAGTTTGAATAACACTTGGTGATATTTCTACTAATTATAACTGAATAAAATTAAGTAAACTAAAAGCTAACTATAACTGAGTTGTAAACAAACAAGAGAAGGATCTAAGGTTGTGATTTCCCCTATTGATGAAATCCATTCCTGTCATGTTTCGTATAGATTTTCCTAATCGTCTATATCGATCATGAGCACTCTTACTACCGTAAATCTCTCTCGAGTAATTATGACAATTTACTAGAGGTACTCTCCCGAGTTACGCTAGCTGACTTTTATTACAGCTCACTTAGATCGCACCCAAGGTTTTGTTATCCCTGATCCCACCTTCAAACCCTCGATCATTGATTCCTCATATACTTTGGGAGTTGTGTTGTTCAACAACTACCTAAATATGCACTCTCTCCCGAGTAATATTAAATAGGCATAGCTAATTGAGGATCCTATCAATAAACTACAACAAGAACGTAATTGAACAAATAGAGATTAAACTGGGCAAACTATATTAACACAACAAGAAGTTCATCCCGCAACAGGTTCCTTCAAAACCTTAGACTAGGAATTTAGCTACTCATAATCATAGTAACAATTTCCTAAATAATTTGCATAATTAAATTACAAAGCAAAGATGAAGGAATGAAGAATTCGACGCTAATCTCCTCCGAAAATTGCTCCCAACGTTTTCTCCCTTCCGAAATAGGCTCCCTAGGTCTAAGATATGTCAAAAGTCCTCAAAATAGCATTTTATATGTATTTATACCAAGTAGGGTCGGGCCTAGACGAAACACCCTTTCATGCGCAAAATGACTTGGCTCTATAAAATTTGTACTGCTGCGCCGCACCATGCGCCGCACCATGCACCGCACCATGCGGCACGCTAATGGCCTTTATCAACAGCTTCTCACTTTTCTTGTCAGGCCCACTTTTGTACTGCTGCGCCGCGCCTTGCGGCGCCCCATGCTGCGCGGCAGTGCAATTTCCTCATAATGAACTTATTTCGTCCTCTTTTAACATCCAGACTTGGTACACGACCTCCGAACACTATCCCAACTTAATGTATTGGGTTTTTACTCAAACTTCAAAGCTCCGGATTGATCAATTTAACTCCAAATTAACTCTTGAGCTTAGGATCACTTCCTGCAAGGCATAAAACACGTACTAAGTGTAATTCACTATCATTTGAGCTCAAACATATATAAAAATGCAGTAATTGAAATGTAATACTATGGCTAAAATACGGGTTTCTAGCCTAACATCAGCTCTCCTAAAGGAACTACAACTTGCGGAACAAAGCAACCTGGTTCCTCTTGAAATCAATACTGACTCTTCTGAAATTATCAATATACTAATGAAAGGTAGCCTCATCTATGATCCCTTAATTGTGAATGCAGGTCATTAATATGCAGGATGGACAGGGTCGTGGTGAAGCACATCTATCGGGAGCAGAATAGGGTGGCGGACGCATTGACTAGGGAAGCAACGAAGGAAGCTTTTTTGAATAGTTCTAGTATACTACCAGTTCCTCCGATGTTTGCCAATGATGTATTTTGGGCAGACATCCTAGGAACTGAGTTGGTTAGATCTTTTGTGGGTTGTAATATGGATACAATTATGCATAACATTTCGGTAGTTGGGGTACTACAATACCCAAATAATGACTTCTCTGTATTACCTTTTTGCTAACAAGATATATATATATATATNACGAAGCGTTTCTATCAATAGCGTTTGGAATATTCTGTAGAATTTGATTTAAAATAAATAAATAAATTATTTAGTTAAATAACAGAAGGGTAATTTAGTAATTTAATATTTAGGTTAGGGTCTTCCTTTTAGTTAAATAATAAAAGGGTAATTTAGTAATTTAAAGGGCTTCTTATTTTTAATATAATATAGATATAGATAGATAATCAGTTTTTACAAGTTTGGCCAAACAGATTCAATTATTAGACGAAAAAGAAGTGATTTTGAGCAAAAGCAGATATAAAAGGAATTCAAATACAAATTGCGGGGGGTATCGACGAAAAAGAAATTGCACGTGTCGAATGGATCAGAGAAGGTAGGGTTCCCCTACAAATGATTTGAGCGAAAAATTGATTATTGCTCTTATACAGTTCAAACTATCTATGGAGTATTGGGCATCAAAATTTGGATATTTCTGTGAGGTCTACAAAATTTAGCTTCCTTCCAGGAGAAAACATAATAAAAAGAATAAGTTTTTTAATACAAAAACCCGTATTGAAAAAATTATCCCTTGTTATTAGAATGTTGCCTTCTTATCCTTCAACAATTTAGAATGTTATCAACTTCTCCTTCTTCACCATGCTTTTTCTTCCTGATCTCTTTACTCTTTCTTTCCTTCTCACGGAATCTCAAAAATAAATAATTATATATTTCAACTAAATAAAATTAAAAAACTTCACTAAAAGTCTATAATAATAATACATAATTAAACTATTTTCCTTTTTTAATAACATTTTTTCATTTGTCAATTGAGGAACTGTTTAAATTGTTAGTCTAATACTAATATGAGTCTATTTGGAAGGATACTTTGTAGTTGAATTTGGTATAATTACTAGGGTAATAATTATATAGCCTAGTAATTACACAACCTAATAATTATAAAGGCATATTTACTTGCCATAATATAATTATATGCATCATATTTTGTTGATAAGTTTAATTATACATTCTATAATTGTTAGCTTTTGAATAAATGTTAATTTCAAACGTTAATTAAATAGTCTTTTTCCAGATGAACATGAAAATAAGTTTTAAGTCAAGTATTTTCAAATGATTTAGCCAAATACAAATGGCAATAGCTAAAAAACTTTTTTTAAAAAAATTGAGTGACAATTCAGAGACCTCCCTGGTAGTTTAAAATATTATGCTTGCTTCCCTTATTTTTCTCCCTCTAACAATTCTTTTAGTTTATTTTTTATTAATATAAATGAAATATAATTTGACAAATCTGCTCTTTTATAATACTAAGATTTTTAATTAATTAATTCTATCAAATAACTTATTTAACAAATTATTTAACCAAAAAAAATCACAATTAAAGTTACTAAAACATAAATAATACGTATTAGCTGAATTACCAAACAACCTACGTGTATTCTTCCAGTAAAGCAAAGTAGAACTCGTTTATGTTGAAGGGTAACACTTATTTCGAACCATTCCATCGGTGGCTTGATTTTTCTAGTTACCCAATACTTTCCAGGAACACCTTCAAGTTGGAAGGAAAACACTGCAAATTTTTAAAACACACATCTAAATCACTCTGGCATCTATTTTCCGGCCAACTTCAAAATTCGTCGGTCTGTCACCGGACGTCTGAATCTCTTTCTCAGAGGCGGATCTAGAATTTTAATACCATGGGTGCACCTATGATTTTGACGTAAAATTAATACTAGTCATAATGTCAGTAACGTAAAAAAAATAAAAATATTATCACTTATTTTTAGTTTTAGAAAATATTATTCAAAGAGATAATTAATTGTAATCTTACGAACTAAATTTGTTTTTTCATTAATATTATCAATTATAATTTGTACAAATATTAATGCCGTTAAAACTAAATTTTGTGCAAGTTTAAGGATAAAAAGAAGCATGAAAAATCAAAACGTTTTTGGAGCATATGATAACTTCTTTATATGTGAATTTCATACAAAGAAAAGAAAATTACGTTCCGTTCTTAAAGAAATTGAAGATAGAAGTTCAACAATTTGACTGGAAGAAAGATATGATTAAGAAATAATTTGATGGGTATAAAATTAATTAAGCAAGTCTCTTCGTATAATTTATAATAGATCTTACATCCATATAAATTATTATTTTCTGGTAATTAATTAATAGTGAAACAAATTTATAATAGTTTAAATTAAAAATAAATCTTAATTAGAAGTAATCAATAGCTAATCTCTAAATTCTTAATTTATTGTATACCATAAAGCCTGAAGAATTAATCAGCTTGGATGCAATCAAGGAGAGAATCAGTAAAGAAAAAAATAACAAGAAAAGGCAAAAGGAAAAAAATAGAATGGGAAAAATAGAAGAAAAACCGAGCTAAAAACTTAATAGCACATATGGCCCTAGGTCTCAAACTGAGGCACCAAATACCAGATTTAACCGTGGGTGCCTTCTGCAAAAAATATATAGCAAAACAAGGAAAATTTTACACAGAAATCTACTTTTATTTACAAGTAGGATGGGTTCACGGGCCCCAAATTCTTAATGTGCATACGCCCCTGCTCTTTCTGCGGTGAATTCCTCTGCTGATATCTTTTCCGGCGAAATCAAGTTGTAAGTTTCTCTTCTTGTCTCCTGAATTAATTTCTTGAGGAAAAAAAAACACTTTTCTTACTGATCCCACTCAGGCAAAAAGTATTTACCCTTTTTTTAAACAATTGTTATACTAGAATTCGGAATGTGAAGTAGGCCGCAATGTTTTGTACAAAGGCGATAAATTGATCTTAGGCCTTTCACAGTCTTTATGGAGTTATAGCACAAGTTGTTGACCAAAGTAATTTATGGAATGATCGTGGAACTGGAACCTCAAGGTGACTTGACCAGTTGAAACAATTTTTGGACTTCCATTTTGCAACGGTTAAATGTGAGTGATTCCAAAGNTACTCATGCAGTATAGTTTTGCTTTCTCTTTGGTATCAGTGGTCTTCTGAATGATAATATCTTAATATTTGATTTCAAGGAAACTAGTTAATTTTTATGAAGGATATCTTTTGGCGAGAATTGTAAAAGGAATTTTGATATAGCTTGTTTTAAGCGTAACCTGCACCTTTTGACATAAAGCCGTCTATGAAGACTACTAAAGTATGATTGGAATACTCATGCACCTATATTTCCCTCCCCTTAGTTTAAGTTCTTCTACATGTTCCATGAAGTTGTTGATTTATCATCTTGATATTCCTTTTTTTCAATAGCTAAAGTTTAGTGTTGCAATTAGTTTTCATAACTAAAGATCGGAATACTGTGGTCTGACCCAACTTTTATTTGGTTTGCTTCTGTCATTTCCTTACTAGAATGGAAAGAAGACATCAGGTTTTCTCTGTAGATCTTCTTGAAAGATATGCCACAAAAGGCCGTGGAGCCATTACATGCATGGCGACCGGCAATGATGTCATAGTTCTGGGAACTAGCAAAGGCTGGGTAATCAGACATGACTTTGGAGTGGGTGATTCTTATGGTACGACTTCCAACTTTTTCTTTTTGATTAGGAACAATTTTTCTTGTCGCAACCCACCTTATAGCTAAATATTAAGAAAATATTCATTTGCTTAAATGCCGGAGTTATTTTAGATAGACCCAGTGCTATCAAAGGCGTGCTCACTTAAGCCTTGAAGCGAGGCTCAAAACATGCTGAGTACTTTGCCTCTGTTAGTGGGCCCTTCGGTGTTGTCATCAAGGCTCTAAGACATACTTTTCCAAACGTAATCTTGAAGAGGCGACACTAAATAATTGATATTTCACTTTATCGTAAATTTTCTTCAATTTCTTTGTTCATATATTTGGTATTCATGCTTATAGATATTAGTCTTGGACTACACATATGTATTTGTAGTTTTTCTCCATTTGCGCCTTTCTTCATTAAAGCCTACCTTTTATTTGCCCTTTGCGCTTAAAGCCCCAACATACCTTAGAGCTTTTTGCGCTTCTCGCCTTTGATAACACTGTAGACCAGATGTCAAAATATTAAATAATATTTTGTTAGGTTTGGGTTTGCACAAACTTAGACGGTACATGTACCCATGCAGAGCTGACCTCAAAAAAGAGTAGCTCTGCTTAAAAGACTCGATTTTAATAGAACCTTGTAACAACAAAACCATGCTTTTACCCTGTATCTTGAAGATTTGTGACGTACATATCCGTAATTAGTCTTTCAGTTCTTTTTTGAGCTAAACAAGCTTTTACGTCTTAGCATAATGTTAATTTTTTTCTTTCTTTTTGGGTAAAGGTTTAGCATAGTGTTTCTTATGCTAGACTAGATTGGCTGAAACAGGGTAGCCTGGGATAATCCAGCATTGTAGTTTTATTGAGGAGTTCAAATAGCAGTGATAGTAAAACCCAATGAACTAGTAAATTGTAAGA